ATAACGTATGAGTAACAAATATCTGTCAAAAGTTTCTAATAAGTATTTCAATCGGATCACCCTGAATGAGTCCCAAAACTGTCATGTATCGGCGAATGGTCAATATTTTTGCTTGTCGAATGCTGTGATGTAGGGGTCGCCTGGTACCCAACAGCCCTACATGCAGTGGTTGTACTATTATAGTAGGAAGCCTATATGAACTCAGCAATTTGCTCTGTAGCTTACGAACATAGATTTGTACAGTCTCCCTGCCTATTAGTAGAGTTGAAGTTGAGTTCTCCGCCCGGCCGACTTGGTGACTGGCCGACTTCTCCTGCAGGCCGACTTGGCGATTGGCCGACTTCTCTCGTATTCGTCGAGATGACAAACACAAAGCTATCAGTTTGACAAGGGGTCAAGTAACTGACGGTGTTTGAACGGGAAAACAATATTTTCACTGAACTTGCACCTTTGAAAGAAACAATTGAAGTACTGCCACGTTTGGGATTGCAGAAAAGATATGAAAAAAATGTTTATTATTCTTAAAAAGTACTAACCTTGCCGGCTTCATACCATAATAAGGCATGGTTTCTTGATAAAACTTTACAGTCAAAGATGGCATTATTGGGGGATGGTTTACTCCGCGCCACGGAACGTCCAATTTTAACCGGTTCGTTGAGAAGAACACGTCGTTCTTGAAAAGGATGTGAATTGGGGCGACAGGTAAACACTGCAACGGCCGTCATTTTGTTAAGGTCAACCAGCTGATCTCTCTTTGGTTCCTGTGATCAGTGTCGGAGGACGATTCACATACGACAGAGGTTAACGTTCTCACACAAACAGAATTATACACGATACTTTCTCAAGGTGGGTAGGTGAGTAGAGAAGGATCTTCTGAAACACTATAAATTGAAAATACAAAACATAAATATAAATGAATAATTCACAAACCGGCAAACGTCAAAAAGTCTTTAGCAAACTTTGTTTGGGCAAACGCACGTTACAGTGTACGACACGAGAGATGCGGAAATCATAACGTACCGATACGTCCACTTGTTGATATTAAAAATATTTGCGTACCTGTCATACTGCACGATCGCTTAGCACAGAGAAACGTAATGTGCAAGAGAAATTTCTCCCAAGTGTTCTATAAACTCAACTTCACACGATCCGATCCGCCATTTTGAATCTTACACTCGTCAAAAATCAGTGCTTCGGACGACAACAATACTTCTGAAGACAACCGTACTTGACCAGGACTTTAACAAATGACAACTGAATAACTGTAGGTGAATATTAGTTGATAGTACAGTTACGGCTCCGTCTCTGAACGACACATACAAGGAGATAAAATCTTCTCTGCACACAGCTGACTTAAAACATTAAGACCGCCATCTTGAATTTTATTTTCACAGGTAACTGCCTCGTTTTCAACTTCCGGGGAAACCGGATAGAGGGCGCTATAGGAATCTGGCGCTCAATGCGTACTTTTCGTAGAGGATACATTCTTGCCCGCCAAAGTATTTTTTCCGCCCCACTCAAAAAAACACCAGTTGCCGAAAGAGGAGGCGGTTTGCGACGATGAGAGGATGATGATTAATTTCATGTTCTTTCTTTCTTTCTTTCTTTATTTCTTTATTTATTTATTTATTTATTTATTTATTTATTTATTTATTTATTTATTTATTTATTTATTTATTTATTATATTTGCTCTTTTCACAGTATGCATTCAAGTGAAACACCACAGCAAGAAATGGTCAGCACGACGATTCTCGATGTGATGGTCGGCGAAGCTATATCATTTTTCCGCATATACCTTGTTCGCAAAAGCCCGCGACCTATTCACGAATTATACAATATTATTGGTCAAATGTCGGATAGTAAATGTAGGCCCGAGATTAAACACTGCTTGGGTACAAGTATTTTGGAGTTAAGAAACTTCTTCGAAAATCATGGAACGTTTTTCGACGTGAGAAACGATTTAGTTGCCCTGAAACCCACGCGGACTAGGGATGAGATCGAACACATGTTATCGGATCACAAGAAAGTCGACGACGCAAGAGAAGGGTCTAGGGTTTCTGAGGTTATATCGTTGAAGTGCTCGCGCCAGAAACTAAACGTTTGTATCATTTCAAACCCGGAAGAGTGTACCAAACTAGTATTACATATCACTAAACAGTCGCAGGCTATTGCTGTGGACTGCGAAGGAGAGGGACTTGGTGAGTATTTCTTAATGACATATTAAATGATTGAGACTAATCCTGAAACATGTATACCGGCATATAATCATTTGGTCCACACTCTATGTAGAAGATAGATTTTTAGTCCCCGTTCGGACGCAGTCCGAAAACGGGGACTTATGTTTTGACCTCCGTGCGTCCGTGTGTGCGTGCGTGCGTCTGTGCGTGCGTCCGGACCTGTATCTTAGAAATGCCTGGACCAATCACAATCAAACTTCACACATACATCATACATGATATCATACATATGCACGTCAATTTGTTTCATGATCTGATTCAAGATGGCCGAATGGCGGCCATTTTTGTGCTAAAAATCATCAAAATCGAGCATTTCCCGGTTGTTTACAGATGGATTTTGTTCAAACCTTGTATATACATTGGAAATTATAGTACCTTGATGCACATCATTTTATTTTACGATCTGATTCAAGATGGCCGAATGGCGGCCATTTTTGTGCTAAAAAATCATAAAAAGCAACCATTTCTCGGCTGTTTACAGATGGATTTTGCTCAAACTTGGTATATACATTAGACATTATGGGACCTTGATGCAAATAATTTTGTTTTTCAGATAACATTCAAAATCGCCGACTGGCGGCCATTTTGTATTAATCAATGTGGTTCTCGTGCCATATCTCCAATATATTGTTTTGACTGATTATGTTCAAATTTTAAATATTCATTATACATCATGCCATAGATATATTAGTTTGACGATCCTATTCAAAATGGCCGAATGGTTGTCATTTTTGTACTAAAAAATCATCAAATATCAAGCATTTCTGGCATTTATGGATGGATTTCGTTCAAACTTGGTACATACATTAGACATTACGGGTTCCTGATGCACGTCATTTTATTTTTCAGATCAGATTCAAAATGGCTGTCTGGCGGCCATTTTGTTTTAATGAATGGGTTTCCAGACCCATATGTCTGACTTGTTTTGTCTGATTATATTCAAATTTTTAATATTCATTATACATCATGTCACAGATATACGGATATATTGGTTTGATGATCTTTTTCAAAGTGTGCTATTTTTGTGCTAAAAAAATCCTCTAATATCAAGCATTTCTTGCATTTATGGATGGATTTTGTTCAAACTTATAACACACGTTAGACATTACAGGTTCCTGATGCATGTCATTTTATTTTCAGATTGGATTCAAAATAGCTGACTGGCGGCCATTTTGTTTTAATGATTGGGCTTCTAGAGCCATATCTCTTAAATTTCTAATTTTGGTGAATATTTTTGTCATTTTTGGTAGAAAGTGATATTTTCGACTTCTTGTTAAAAACTGTAAGTCCTGTTGCTTTGATACTATACATATTGTTCATTTTCTAATGATGTCTTCAGTTCTTTAATTGAAATGTGCATTGCTAACAGCGGAGCTATCTCAGCCGATAGGCTGCTTGTTTTTTATGCGGTATCTTGGACGTGTTGTGAGTTTTCATTCAAATTTGGCACATACATGTACATGTACTTTATACATGTTAGGATGCATGTCCATGACAATTTGTTTCAAAATCTGTTCAAGGATGGCTGATTGACAGCCATCTGACTTTTTGGCCGTACTACTATATTTCCACAATTTATGTACCATTTACATTTGTATTTGGCACATACATCATACATATCAGTGTGTTTCATAATCAGATCAAAGATGGCCGAATAACGACTGTTTTTATTTTTGGCCATATTACTACTACACGGAACACGTGTTTTGATGTAAATAAACAATCTGTTGTATACGCCACTTGGAACTCAAGTTTGAAGGACACGCTCGCGGCAACCCCTCCGCTTTAATATGACGAGCACAAAGAGAACTTTCAAAAATTTAACAGGGACTGTGTCATTTTCAATGACTTGTCATATGAGTGATTGTTCGTGTCAATGTTTTACTTTTTCGACTTCTTCTTGAAAACTACAAGCCTGAATGCTTTGATACTTGGTGTATATGTACCTTGGGTAAACCTATCTTAGATTTGTTCAGTTCATGATGATATCTTCAATTCCCTAATTTTGGTGAATATTTTTGTAATTTTTGGTAAAAAGTGATATTTTCAACTTCTTGTAAAAAAACCGCAAGTCCAATTGCTTTGATATTACATATATAGGTACTACACATGGACCTCTATCAGATTTGTTCATTTTGTAATGATATCGTTAATTCTTAATTTTTGGTGAATATTTTTTGTCATTTTTGGTAAAAAGTGACATTTTTGACTTCTTGTTGAAAACCGCAAGTCTGATTGCTTTGATACTATACATATAAGGTACCACATGTAACCCTTTCTCAGATTTGTTCGTTCCGTGATGATATCTTCAATTCTCTAATTTTAATGAATATTTTTGTAATTTTTGGTAAAAAGTGATATTTTCGACTTCTTGTTAAAAACAGCAAGTTTGATTACTTTGATACTATACATATTGTTTATTTTCTAATGATATCTTCAGTTATTTAATTGAAATGTGCCTTGCTAACAGCGGAGCAATCTCAGTCGACAGGCTGCTTGTTTAATTTTGGGATTATGTATGTGAGGTTCGTTCTATCAACATAGAGTATCCCCTGTTTAAACTTACGAAACGAAACAAAACAAAAAGAATAGAATAGAACACAGGTAACACAGGATACAAATTACGATATAAACAAGGCAATAATTTCTTGTGATTCTGTACAAATCTTCTACAACTTCTGATGATAGTCACATTCTCTTATCATTCCTCTCCATATTCAGGTACCTATGGGAAATTGTCACTAGTGCAGATTGCAACGTATAACGGTGAAGTATATTTATTCGATATCTTAGCAACCAAGTCTAAAGACGATTTATTCAAGCGTGGGAAGCTGAAAGATCTACTCGAAGGCGATGATGTAGTCAAAGTAAATATACCACAATCTTAGTTTCATTGTTAAATATAGTTAAATATAAAAAGCGCCCTGCGGCCTTTTTTGTTTTTATTGTGAACTTGTTAGCTCCACTGTCACCAAAGATGGGTGGGTTACCTGGACCTGTTGTCGTCTGTCCTTCGTATATCGTCTGTCAAGTTTTTTTTAAGGGACTACTGAAAAATTACTAATTTTCACTCGGTTTAAATTTTACTGTTTGGCATTTCAGGCATATTCAGTGGGTTTTAAATTCATGGTTTTATCATTTAGATAATATGTTCTATGCTAAATTTGACATATTCACTGGGTTTTAATTTAGCGCATTTTACAATCAGCGAAATAAGCATAATTAAAACCCAGTGAATGATTAATCTTTTTACAGTGATCACTTTTCCCAAACAGTAAGCTAGATCACCTAGCTATTTATAGCACAGCTTCTCTGTCAGATTTGTTTATTTCATGACATCAAATCAAAATCTCTATTTTAGCGAATATTTTTGTCATAGATTTTTGACAGCTGCTTGTCAGATTGCATTGAAATTTGGCATGAATGATCTTGACATGGACTAGACTCTGACTTACTAATTTCAAAAAGTGTCCTTTTTTAGTAAATATTTTTTGTTGTTTTTTGCTCATTTTTGCATATTTTTGACTTCTTCTCCAAAACCACCTGCCAGATTGCTTTGAGATTCATAATGTATATACATGGATTGATCCTCTTTCAAATTTGTTCATTTTGTGAAGATATCTTTTGTGAAAGTTATGATTTTTTTTGTAATTACAATAGTTTTATTTTTCCCACTTTCCCATACGTTACATATGGACTATGTATAATACATGGACTGTAATAGATAAGTGTATTGTTGGGTTCTGAACTCCCAGAACCAATGTTATTCAAAAATGCTGAAATTCAGGTAAAGGTCATTTCAATGTTTATATGTTTTGCTGCTATAAGACAACTGTAACAGTTGGAAGGTAGTTTTTTTCAGTACACATTGTTTTGGGTTCTGAACAATCTCGGCCAATGTTTTTAAAAAAATTTCAATTTCAGGTCGATCTTCAGGGTTGGGTCAAGGGTAATACAAGATCCAATGTTCATTGATTACATCATCAATGTTGCGTAGCCCTCTTTTAATCTCTATTAGATTTTGAGTTTTAAAAAACTTGTCTTGACTGGCCATATCATACCATATTTCCATTCCTTCAAACTGGTAATAATTTAATACAATGACCAGTTTCCTTTATTGTGCCAAAA